TTCAATGCCTAGATGCATTATTCGATCACTTCCACTCAAACTGCAACCCTTTAAAAAAAAAAAAAAAAAAAGAAACGAACACTTGTAGTGTTGATAAATAATCAGATTCACTCGCATTGTACTCGGCATTCGGATCTCTATAATTGCATTATTGAAGAACGGGAAAACAGAACGTGTGACTGTTATAAAACGTCGAGTACCGATTTAATTCTAAAAGGTGACACAAGGAACGAATTAATTCGTGTCAGTGCGGAACAATATTATTACGTTAATATCATCAAAGTCCGAGCAGCGCTGTCGAATGAAGATAATGGCGAAGTATCGTGCGTTGAAAGTATTACACAATCGTAATCAGTGTTGTACGAGAGGACGTCATTCCCGGAAAGGATTTCTTTCAGAAGAAACAGAAAAACAAAAAACCGTAACGTTTTCAACAAAAAAAAAAAAACCTTTTTTTTTTATATGTACTTTCAATCTTACCCGAATTTAGCAGTCATTTTGGGCTTTCTATTATCGACTATCTCAAGCTCCGACTTCAAGGGATGAGAAGGTGTCCGAGAGATAGTAGGAAAAACCAAAGAACTCGATAAAATTGGGATGATCCGATGGCGACTCAACATGTAGTTCGAGGTGAGCATTTTAACTTCCTCGCTTTATTTCGTCTACCCGGATCATCGGCCCGATATCTCACTGAAACTAGAAAAGTAGAAAACTAGAAAAGAACGTGACGAGAACGCGTTCCTTTCGAATTACGGGAACTTGTAACGGGGACCCGTGTTCTAAGATCGAGAAGGAACAAAAAACGTGCTTTCGTTCTTTTTTTTTTTTTTTTTTTGGAGGAACGCGTATACAACACTGATTGTAATGGATTACCTTTCGTGATTACGGCATTCTTATCGGCTTACCTGCCGGCGTGTTTGGCTTCCAAAAGGAAGCGAAAAATGGTGAAAAAAATTGGGTGGGCTATCCTTAGAAGATTCAACAGCGAAACTTTACTAAAAAAAAAGAAATTAGTGATAAACACCGGGACAAGCGCGCTACAAACCACGTGGCGCACAGCCCGCAGATCGCGGACGCGGCAGGTTCGTATTTCGCGATGCGAACCTGCCGCGATACGCAACACGATATAGGCGGGAGCAACTTGCGTGTCACGGAAACCGATATCGCGGACGCGCAGATCGCGAACGAAAACGCGGGAGCCCACTATACGAACTCGCTTATCATACGTACCGCGGTGTCACGGATCACGTGGTTGATATGATTCCCGTCGGTCATCACCCGATGTCCGACGGTTATCGGAAGGTGGCCGGCGAATTCGGAATTTTTTATGTTACGGACATTTAAACGGAAAAAAACGGGATGGGCGATCTCTCGGGGGTGGGCGTCCTTACGGTATATTACTGTATATTCATAGTGTGCCCAGCTTGTTGCTTGCCGAGTTCGCGCGTCACCTTTTGTTGCGGGAATGAGAATTCGAACGGGTTTCTGCAAAGCCAAAAGGTGTGACGTCAGCATCACTGGCAAAAGGTGACGCTAGCATTCAATTCCGCCAGGGTCTGAATCTGTTGTGGCTCCAACAAGATATGGCACCCGCGGGCTCTGTTTCGATCCATGACGAGCCCGTCGCGTGACGACGGCGTGATTGATCGCCCTGCGAACCATATTCACACGCGTCGAAAAACGGCATCTAATAACGCCCGCAGTGGTCACGCCAACGCCAAAATACCATCGATGGATCTTGTCAGTCATTTGGAGGTCACGTGTCCAACAGTCGTGGCCGACACCGGTTCTCTCTTACTTTATCACTGCTATTGATTTATTTTTGCAGCTGGTACGCTAAAGATATGCCACTGCTCAGTATACAGTTGTTTATACAGGGAGAATTCGGCAATATTTTTTAAGAACGCCGAGAACGCCGAACGCCGACATGGTATATCTAGATATAGCCAACCACGGCACCCAGTCTGGCAATCCGGGAAATGGAACGCTCCGTTCCGACATCTTGTGCTGTTTGTGCGCATAACAAACCGAGACTGCCTTGGGGAAATTGGATAGCACGCTGTAGACATAGTGACAATATTATCTGCGGAGACTGTCCGCGGACATGTCTGCGGACAATTTTTGTGTGACTGTCATACGAGGAAGAGACACGCCCCAGACATTGTCAGCAGCCTGTCTATTGAGCGATGCGTAAGCAGTGAGACCACTCTTTCAAAGAGCCGCGGTACACAACGTTGGAAACAAATTTATTCGCGGCCGATATGAACGCTTCCATTACCATGCCCAAACAGTGAAACTTTTTGTGTTATATACGGTCTTGCGGGGTTCGTTTCAATCATCACGCATTGCCATCCGGACGTTGCAAGAGGACCGCCCCGCCCTATCCAAACAAAGATGGTGTGCACACCCTCGTGGTAGTAAGAGAGTAACACCGACCCATCCGCACGCCGACAGGCAACGCCCGTTGATGATGATGCAAACTTCTATTTGAATATGGAGGCATCAAGGAGTCCGGCTCTGTTGTCGGTATAGGTTGGCAGGTGCCACGCGACGTGGAGCGCGAGCCCACGAGACAGACAAGGCCGATGGTGAGGACTATGGGAGGTATAGGAAGTATTCACTGGCGGCCATAGCTGTGTGCGCGACTGCTGAGCGCGTGCTGATGGCGAGCTTCCAGAGTTCTTTTGTAACGTGCATTTCGCACCCTCAAGATTGCCGGTCTTAGCAGCCTATTAATGTGGGCTCGTTCTGAGCATGCGCTCTAAACAGCATTCACAAATATGGCGCCCAGTGAATACTCCTTATTCACTGGACGCCATATTTGAGGGCGATGCTTAGAGCGCATGGCCAGAACGAGCTCACATTAATAGCCTGCTAAGACCGGCAACCTTGATGGTGCTAAATGCACGCTCCAAAAGGACTGCGGAAGATCGCCGTCAGCACACGCTCAGCAGCTGCGCACACAAATATGGCCGCCAGTGAATACTCCCTATAGCTCGGCGCGGCCGCCGTATCTAGATGGGACACCTCGGTGACGACGTCTCCACGCCGTAACGTACTCCGATACCGCGAGATGTCCCGCGTCCCTCGCCGTTCGTGCGCAGATTGAATCTCGTGCCGTATGCCCGGGTGCGGTCGACAATCCTCCTTGTTTGCTCGTTCGCTCTGAAGAGAGAAAGAGACATCGCCACGCGAGTTGGCCCCTCGCCGTAATCTAGCACATCGCTGCCTTCGTAATGGTGCGTGCTTTACCGGGAACAAGGCACAGCATTGACTTCGGTCACAACGAAACTGGCAGCAACGAGCTGAATAGATTTTTTTTTTTAACTTTAACTTTGAAGGGCCTAGATTTGATAGTGTTTACAATGGCTTGATTGTGGTCATGCGTTTTGTGGGCCGCGTTCGCAATACAAGCCGCGAGAAGGTTTCAAGAGCGTCTATCGTCTGCAAGCGTTTTCACGGGTTGTCAGTGTCTCAGCCGGCTATCCTTCTCGCCCCGCGCGACGTACGTTTATACATGGGCAATCAACTTGCGCAGGACGTGTCCACCACATTGCAAGCGCTCTTCACAATTTTCAATTTAATGGCGGTTTTAAATCGATGATCTCTAACCTCTTGCAAGTCGTGAGAAGCCCTCTTTGGACGCCAAAGGCATTCTCGGTCACAGGTGCGTGGGAGAGGACACGGTAGCGACCAGATGGCTCTCTCTTTTTCTCTTACTGTCTCTAGGGTCACGTGACATGGTATATCAGATACTTCTTAGCTACTATGAGAATAATGAAGTGTGCACAGGATGTTCCCTCAATTCGTTGCGCGCCGCTTCGAAGGTGGCCTTTTGGGGATTTTGGCAAATGGTCGATTAAGCTTTGTGTGTACCCAAGCAGCACCGACACTTCGAAAGAACGTCGTAAGAACGTCGACAACTTCCGCGACCAGACGTCGAGAAAACGTTGGAAGTTTGGACGTCACGTCTCTTTGACGTAAAAAGGAAAGCCTAATGTCTGGCCAAAAAGGTCGATTTAACGTCGACATGACGTCCTAATGAACGTCTATGGAGCGTTGAGTCCACTTTCCGAGGCAGCACAGACACGTCGAAATGACGTCGAAAGAACGTCAGTAACTACAGCGACAACGTCGAGAGGAAGTTTAATGTGTTGACGTCACGTCCAATCGACGTAAAAGGGAGGCCTAATATTCGACCAAGAAGGTTGATTTAACGTCGACATTGCGTCCTAATGAACGTCTATGGATCGTCGTGTCCACTTTCTGAGGCAGCACAAACACGTCGAAAGGACGTCGAAAGAACGTCAATAACTACAGCGACAACGTCGAGAGGAAGTTTAATGTTTTGACGTCACGTCCAATCGACGTAAAAGGGAGGCCGAATATTCGACCAAGAAGGTTGATTTAACGTCGACATGGCGTCCTAATGAACGTCTATGAATCGTCGAGTGCACTTTCTATGGCATCACGAACACGTCGAAAGGACATCGAAAAAACCTCAATAACTGCAGCGACAACGTCGAAAGGACGTTTAATGTTTGGACGTCAAGTCCAATCGACGTAAAATTGAAGGCCGAATATCGACCACAAAGGTCGATTTAACGTCTGCATGGCTTTCCATAGGGCTTCTATAAAACGTCAAGTGCACGTCTGAATTACACGAGATGTCAATTAATGAGGTTACGTCAACGCTTCGAAAACGTATATTTACAACGTCACGTCATAAAAAAACGAAGGCCGCATAATCTCAAGTCCACGTTATATTATTCCGCCTTCTTGTATGCAGAACGTACACTATAAGCCAACAAAACAGCGTCTATTCGACAGGTTTAGGACATCTGAATTATGCAGCATGTCTTCATTAGATTACCTCTTTCACTACAAATAAGGAAGCTGCATCGGAGGAGCAATGAAAAAAATAAGCGAAGGATCTAAACAGTGGTTCCAATTGATCAGCGTTTTATTGCTCTGTACAAAAACATTGCTTTGTTACAAAATCAGCGATCGCCTTCCAGGGGGGATGGAGCTCTGGAGCCCTCCATTGCAGTCCCAGCCTGAAAAAAAGGGATGAAAGAAAAATTTGAGGAAGTATAATGATTCAAGGCGTCGCTAAAAGCCGATTGGACAAATCAAAGGATAAGGCGTATGGGGCAAAGTTAAGAGTGATTGCAAAGTTATCATATTTCGGTGAAACCTAAAGAATAAATAACTGTATGCGAGGCCAGTGCAACGAGGTCCCTACCTTTTTTTGCTTCTGCTCCACTCGTTGACGCGCATGCTTCATCCAGCCCATCGTGGTGACTTGGAAGTCCTTTGTTATGGCTCCAGTGGCGATGACAGCGTCTGAAATAGGAACATAAAATGAATGAGAAATCGGACAATAAAATCAGCAGTGTTACCCACCATATAAGACGCTAGCAAGTTGCAGTGTGCCAAACTGCACCTTTCCTTTGGCTCCAAACCAGCTATACTGGGACGCCAACTCGTCCGTCAGGGTGGCACGTAGAACGCGGACAGCGGCTTCACGCGTCGTATCGCCTCCAATCTTGGACAGCCATTCAACCTGAGCAAGACAAAACAAAGAATATAATTGCAAAAAAAAAATCTAGAGCAGCATGCGATGAAACACATCCCCGAAAAATGGCCCTCGAGTAAACCAACAGTCTTACAAGAGTTTGGCGGTAGCCTCCTTCAACAATCCGGGACTCTAGAGCCGCCACATCGTCCTTGTTAGGAAGAGGGAAGGCTGGCGTCTCCGCAGGTGGGAAGGAGGAGTTGTGGGCTGGTGCTCGTCGCTCCGATTCCTGGAGAGCCTGGATCCTTGCCTTGATCTCTGTAACGTCGGTCTTCACTTTGAGCAGCTCTCGTAGGATCACGTGTGATATGTCTAAAATAGACGTGTGTAAGATGATAACTGGAGCAAAATGTCTAAAAATCAGTAACGCGTGATTGTCGGTAGTTTGGTTCATCTATCAAAATTATATTCCTTCACCGTTTGACTAGAAGGTTTAAAATAGCACTTAAACAGGCTCATACAATGGAAGCCAGTTGCACTAGGACGATGTCATAGGGTTTAGAAACACTATAGTTTGCCCGGTGTTGACGGAAAAGCATTTCGAACTAATTCAATTATTGTATTTCTGGAGCCCTGAAAGTTCTTTCTTTAAATAAAGTGAGAAAATCGCGTCACAAACTCGAAATACATGACGATTATAAGTGCCTTTTTTAACAAAAATAGCACGCCCTCGGCTGTGTCTACTCCACAACTCGCAATGGCAAACCTTGTGAGGGGTTTCTGAAATGACTGGAGCCAGGCCGCTGCCCATGATCCGCAACTGTGGAGACGTCCCTCCTGAACACACACACAAAAAAACAAAGTTTTGCATGATAGTCGGGTGAATGTTTAGTCAAGATAAAAATTGCGAAATAGTAAACAATAGCATGCGAATCGGAGCTTTTCGTTGAAACGCGAGGCACACGTGCTAAAAATGCATCCGATCCGACGTCCGACGCAGGGGTACGACGTCCGAATTTGAATTTTCTCGCATCAGAACAGCCAAACAGCCCTCCAACATGCGACCGACATGCTATATGACACGTCGCTTTTTTTTTTCTTTTTGTCGTTCTAACGCGTGTATGTCTCGCGCTTAACATGGAACTTTCAGCTACGTAACCATATATTACTAAGCACACAGTGAACACCGCATGTTTCCGTTTATTGCCCGCGGCTTACCCTGCATCCGGAAATGGTGGCAGACAACCCCGCTCCAAGGATTCATCTATGGTAGCAACCATAGGACGCAACGAGACGATGTCGTCCACCTCGCTCTCCGACGTCAGTTGCGCCGTGCGGGTTAATTTTTGACACTTGTGCACTGCTCTCGCGTAGTCGGCTGGAGAAAAAAAAGACATGAAGCAAAAATTGGGTAAATATCTGTTTGGATACATTTCTTTTCCCCTTTCGACATCAGGGTGAGGATGACATTCAGTCCAGAGTGAGGATGATATTCAATCTGGGCTTACTTGCAGTACATAGAATTGAAACATTATGCAGGGTCCAGTCAGCTGGGTCTGGTGCCGCACACGTAACAGCTGCCGCCTGGAGCAGCCTCGCGTTCGAGTACGGGGGCCACGAGCATTTTCCATTTTTCACCCACGTGCTAGGCACGACGTCGATCGACTTCAGGCTACCATTCGGGGAGTCCACGAAGTCCACAACGCTGTACATGCTGATATAAAAATACGAGTTTTCTATGAATATGGTTATCCAGTGATAAGATAAACAGTACGACAACTTTGCAGAAAGTTTGCGCTGGAGTATTTTGTTTTCCGGCAAACTCGGTCTCGACTTCAATGAAGCTTTTCAGAAAATTGAAAACGACACGATATCATGAAGTAATGTTCATGATATTTAATTGTTACATTAAACCCTGTAAGGTTTATAGAAATTTAAGAAGTGCTATGAAAATCGCGGGAGGGTATACTATCCCGTAGATAACTGTGTTCTTTTTTTTTCTTTTACACTGCTTGTTAACAATTACAACCGAGCTAATTTTGTAATGCGAGACACCACCGCAATTTGTTTTGTAAAAATTTTTCGACTCAAAATGCTAGAACGTAGAATTAATTTGAATAACGCAGAATGGGCTTACCTCGAGAAAATCGACGTATCCTCAACGCAACGACAGTCGAACTGGCAGTGGCAGTGCGCGCCGTGGAATCACCGATGACTGGTGATATGGTCCCCGATTGACAGAACCAAAGCGGATGTCCACCGATTTTAGCTTTCAAGGGAGGGCACGAAACCTAACAAAGACATTCTCTTCTTTCACCCGGACGAAGGGAAACAGGATACAACGGTCGGACTGCCTGGAATGTTTTTTTCTTTTTTTTTTTTTTTTTACGGGGTGGTCAGGCTAGGTGTTTCATGGCCATTCTAAAGTCTTCTGCGAATAATGTAGAAAGTGTCTACAACACGAGTTTTACTTTTACCGGTGAAGGAAACTAAAGTGGAATGGAGGGGACTTGAGAAAAATGTGACTGTAACCGAACTGCGGTTATTAGCGATAGATGATGCCCTGTAAAATAAATAGGTAACAAGGGAAATTCTTGCCGCTATTGACAGGACTGAATGTAGAGCGGACTGTTGACTATTCGCATAATTACAGAAATATTGTGATGCTGGTGACGCAACAAGCAAAGTTTGACAGTGAGGGGTGATGCAGTTGGTCACAGATTAACGTTAGTCGGAAACTCGTTCGAGTGAATAAATTATTTTAAGCATATACTGAAATGTTTTCCGAAAGCTAAAAATCAAGTCGATGGAAAATAAACTAGCATATTATTCTGAACTAAATAACGAAACAGTGCAAACGTGTCGACTCTGTCGTATTTCAGTCAGCCTTTATAGTTTGCGATTTTTTGGTGGGCGTTCCACGTTGCGAGTAAACTGGCATAAAGCGGCCTGCCAGCATCTTTTTACTTTCAAGAATAGCACTCAGAATGGGGGGGGGGGGGGGGGGGGGGGGATTTGTGACATGCGTGACCTACGGAACATGCATTAGTTTATTTCTGCACGTGATGGCAGTAGCAAAATATTTAAAGAAAACGTGTAGCGCCTCGAAGCCGCGTTGCTTGGAGAAAGAAAAAAACCTGCAAACAGGTTGTGACAGTTTTTTTTTCTTTTTTTTTTTTTTCTGTGACAGTTTGAAGTTCGACAGACTTAAACAAAAAACAAGAAAACGGCGAGTTTCTGACGTCCCTACTACCCACAAAGTCCACCTTCGAAAAAGGAGACGCTGGCGTCGATCTCGCCCCGTTCTGCTCAAGAATAAGAAAAATGAAAACCGGTGTCCTATATCAGTCGAAGGGTTCATCTCAATTTACAATATAATGAGCAGCGTCCACCCCCTCAACTCACAGCAGAACAACTGATCCCATGATCCGGTGCCGATTATGTCTCTAATATTAGAGTTTTCCTAGACCGGGATTCGCCGTCCCGCTAAGCTAGCGCGACCGCAAATGAGGCCTGGAGTTCTGCAGGCAAGGCTGGTGGCGCGTGCGCAGTAGCTCGACTTTGATCGAGCTAAGCTAGTGGGACGGCGAATCCGGTCTACGAAAACTCCCTGTTATCATATTCACGTGCTAAGGTTGGAAAGAGACGCTAGAGTTCCGCTATTCACGTCACTGCAGAGGCTGGGCACGAGCTACTACCTGAATGATTGCAGTGGCATTGTCACGACCTTAGGATGAGTGCTCACGCACTGCTCTTGCTTCATTTATGAGCTTTATTATGCATTCGAATTTCACCACCACGGGGACTTTCCGTGACTACGTCAGTATCAAGAACCCCTTGATCCACCGAGTTGTACTAAGGAAAGAATAAACAAAAGAGGTCGCTCCTATTTGTAAAATTAAGACGCGACAAGAAAGCTTTTGAGTCGGTGGCGTTGTTGGTGTACTGGGGTCGCGTAAAAGTCCTTTGATGAAATTCAGGCTCTGCGTTTCTTACAAGTTTGGAATACCGACAACCACTGTTGTGCAAACAGGACAGGCACGCAATATAGAGAGCGCAGTTGGAAGAAAATGGCGTTTCGATAACTTTGGCTGTGCACTGCCACCATTTGCTTCAAGGGCTGCGTGAAGAACGTGTCCCATGTCTCGTACGTTGGCACCTTTGACGCTGCCTCCTCAAAGCATTTATATCTTGATTTCGTCACTAATAATGACTGTCTTCGAAAATTCGATTACCACATGACAAAAATTGTTAACAAGAAAAATAAAAAATCTCAGTTAACCAACTGGTCGTGATGACTGTCGAACAAACAATAAAGTAACAGAAGGCTGAGCATTTAATATCCACAGAGTTCTATAGATAAATTTCAAATACAATCCACATCGTGGTACCCCTTCTTAAAACGTTATTAAAACTAGCTATAATTGTAATTGTGTTGTGTGGGAATATTTATACAACGCGATGTTTGTCAAATGAAGCGACATTTCTCTACGCTGTAAATAAGCAATTTAGCCAGTGCAATACGATCGCTTGCCTGGGGTCTTCAACGTGCGTCACGCAGTAGTGAAACACGAACGAGTGCCGGTACGATGCTTATCCAGATCGAAAACTAGCTTTAAGAAAGTCTATTTATGTACCCTTTCGGAAACAACTGGCTCTGAACATTTAGTTGAGTCGTTTTGCCCCAGTGTTGTGCGCGTTACCGAAAAACGTAACTAAATACGTTACTCGTTACTCGCAAACAAAAGGAACGCGTTACCGACCTACGTTACTTCAAAACAGGGAGTTTTCGTAGATCGTTTTTGACGTCCCCCAACGGCTCTCCGCAGCTCGCTACGCTACCCGGAACTCTACAGGCAACGCCACCGGCGCGCAGGCGCAGTAGCGGCTTCGACGTTGCGGAGGGCTCAGCGGAGGGGGAAACACGGTCTACGAAAACTCCCTAATAAAAGGAACGCGTTACCGTTCCCGTAAAAACGTAACGCATGTTACTTTTCCGTTACTTTTTTTTTGTATGAATTAACACGTTTTACTTTTTTGACGTACCTGTACGCATAAGCGCGTATTTCAAGGAACATTATGCCCATGCAGTAACTGAACATAGTTGCCTTATCTTTTTTACGGTTCCACCTAAACACTCACAAGAAAAAAATCAAAGAAAGACACAAGAAACACCAAAAAATTAGCTGGCTTGGCGCCTAGAAACACAAAAAGCTGTAGTGTATTTCTTTTTTGAAGTTTTGGGAATATGTAACGAGTAACGTAACTACGTTACACGTTACGCAACAAAAGTGCTTTAACCGTTACTGTTTTGAAAAAGTAACGAGTACGTTACTACGTTACTAACAAAAGTAACGCGTTACCGGTAACGCCGTTACTTGTAACGCGTTACCGGTAACACGTTACAAGTAACTGCGTCTTGCGCTCGAGCTGCAGGGAAGTACCAAGGAGACCTTGACAATAAGTCGCAATATGTGAAGGCGAAGGGGAAGAGAATGTTGACACTCTTAGGACGTGTCGTGCCCAACGTTTAAAAACGTTCCCAAATAAACGTCAAAGAAACGTCAAATTATGTATGGGACGTCAAGGTGAAGCTCAAGACGCTGTTGGCACGTCTCGTCCTCGAAGTTTCAAGAACGTCTTCAAACAGACGTTGAACAGACGTCGGTTAATGTCTAAGACGTTAAGGTGAAGGTCAGGACGTTGTTACAACGTCTCGCGTTCGACGTTCAAAAAACTTCCTCATGTAGACGTCGAACACACGTCGATGAATGACGAGGACGTCGACGTGAAACTCAAGACGTTATTAGGACGTTTTAAGTATTACCTCTTTGGAACCTCTCACGTTGACGTCCTACAGACGTCGACAAAACGTCTGTCAAGGGCGTCGACGTCGTCAACGTCTAGAACCTTATTTCGACGTCATCTCGACTTCTTGTGCTGCCTGGGTAGCTCTGTGCAATGGTTGGACGGATTTCGAGGCTCCAGTAAGCTTTCTGTAGGCAATTTACAGGCTGGCCGGACGAGTCTTAATCGTCGTCAAGTCACATAGTCGGCTCGTGTAATTCGACTGATGTTCTTAACGCGTTGTTTTTGAGAAGCGAACCATAGTTGAGATTGAAGAAAAGCCGAAATCATGCAATGACCCGCTCACCTATCAAGCCTGACAAAAAAAAAAAAAAAGTCGTAACATTTATGCCAAAAAATGAAAGTTAAAAATGAAAAAACAAACAAAAAACTATTGAATCGCGATTGGGGACGTTCCTGATCATCTAAAGGCCCGTTCACACTCTTGCAACCGAGTGCGACCGAGAGAGACCAAACCGGTTTTTAAGCCTTTTGCGATCTCTTAGGACCAGCTCCGCTCAGTGCATCCGGTCCCAAGAAGTCTTTCTCGGTCGTACTCGGTTGCAAGAGTGTGAACGCGCCTTAACGTCTTTTGAGGAATCACGGGGTGATGTTGACAGCCACTCGGCTAGCTCACCTAAGCGGCACAGAAACAAAGGGTTTGAGATCACTATGCCGACATCCGAACTCTTTCATCTACGAGGAAGTTCAGACCCTCGGTCTTGGGACATCGAACATGCGGCACCTTTTTTTTTGGGGTGCAACCAGCAAGTTTGGTCTGTGTTTCGGCAGTTCACTCGGGGTAGCTTGAAAATGAACCCCAATAAGTCGCCTCAGAGCAGTCTTGGAAAGGAACATGTTGCAAGTAACGCATTGCTGTAAGGTTATTTCTTTTTTTACTTTTAACTGTAACGTGTTGCTTCTTCGAAATGAAACTCGAAACTGCAATGCTATTATTCTTTTTTTTTCTGAAGTAAGAGGAAAGGGACGTTATCTTTGGTCATTCATTTTCAGTTTTTTTGTGTTCTTTTTTTTAGTTAAGATATTAAATAAGTACAATCTATCCATTCCATGCATTTCCAAATGATGTGCTCAGACATTTTTAGTTGTATGTTCGCCTTGCGCCAACCTGTGAATACGGACTGGCTATCGTACTTTGAAAGTATCGGCGTTACCTTTAGTTACTTTTCCGTAACACAGAAACTAATAATAAAAAAATACCCCACTCCCTAATCCCTTTGCCCCACTAACACAATTAAATCACGTTCCCGTAACTTACCCAAAACTGCCTCAGAGTTAAGGTACACGTTTTGACACACCTCCTGGTATCCCATGCACGTCCACAGGACATTCCTTGTATGCAAGGGCATCCTGAAGACATCCGTAAAACCGTATGTCTGCTTGCTAGGGATTGCCACCGGGAGGCTTCCAGGTGAATTTTTTTTTCTCGTGCACTTTGTATTAGTTTAGACCTGTCTCGCCCGCCCGCCCGCCCGCTGGAGCGTAGCGGGAAGTGTGTCCTTCAGCGTGAAACGGGCGAAAGGGTTGGGCGCACCGGGGGGTGCCTCTGGGGCCGTGACCTTGCCGCGGTGGCTCCCGCCTTTTTCAGCCTTGACCGCGTCCGAAGCGTGGGCTGGTTGCCGCGCGCGATGACCTCTGCCCCGCCGGCCGGAGAATGTTGGCGCTGCCAGAGCGACCCACGCGCCACTAGAACCGACCGGGATGTGTGCGACGGGGTCGGCTCTCTGGGCTCAAGTCGCCGAGGTGTGCCATCAGCAAACCATCTCGGCAACGCGTGTAGATGTAGAACGGTGTCTTGAGAAATGATGCTTCATCAATGTATTGGGCAGACATAAACGTGTTACAGAAAGAACCCCAGAGCCAGTTCGCTAGCACAACTTGGCAAACAAAAAAAAAAAAAAAAAAAAAAAGAGAGAAATCAATTACAAAAAAGAGAAATACGAAGAGAAGGTATGAGCAAATACTTTACTAGAGGGAATGCTAGACACTCCCTTCGAATACACCGAGGCAGAAGACGGTACCATCTTCACCTCCGCGACCCACTCAACCGCAACGAATTCCGAGGCCTGGTCACGTGCTCTGACAGCGAGAACAGGGGGAAGAGGCGTGTCGCCAAATAAACCGCTCCACCAGGAGAATATTTGGCGCGGCCGTCGTTCTGTCTTCTGCAAGGGAGGGGGGCGTCCTGTATTTCCATATAGTAAATTACTTTGTATCGGGAAGCAGAAGAGAAAAGGTGGGTGAGATGCTCAGCTTGGTAGAAATGCACGTGACACACGGTGAAGCGCTATAATTGAGCATTAGTCCGCAGCCAATGAGACCGCGGTATTATCCGATAAGATTTGGAAACAGCCAATCAAAAAGCTGGCACATACTAGACCACGCCCTGAATTTCTTAAACTGTCTGTGACTATTGACTATTCGCCCTTTTTGGTTTGGCAACAAACTCAGTGGCGCTACCTACTGTGTTGCCCCTGCACACTTCCGGTTCTATACATTTCCTAGTTAATTTTGTCATCATTATTTTATCATAGAGTGAATTAAGTATGCCACTGTTATAAGTGTCCATTTCCAGAAAATTGCGAGTATATTTAATTTCGCAAATATTGCAAAACCCGCCGCCTAGTTCAGAGCCGGAAGTCGTCGGGGGCTATTTGCACACTGGCGCCATCACGTTTCAACTCACGCGAGAAAGAGCGAATAGCGGCTGCAAGTCAGTGAGGAAGTGGAAGCTCCTCCCACCCCTTCCTACTTCAGCAGAGCGAACGTTGAAGAGGAGGCGACCTCCGCTGTGCAGCGTTGGCTCTGCTAAAGTGGAAAGAGGTGGGAGGTGCTTCCACTTCGTTCTTGACCTGTCATTGACTATAGTGTTCTCGGTGGCTCTGTCTGAGGTTCATGTGTGTTATGGGATTACTAGCGCCCCCTATCAGCTTTAACATAACAAAATAAAGGCCTAGCCGACAGAGCAGCACCATTCGGATTTCTCTGCTCAACAAACATGTCTCGTCGTGTCTCTGTGATATCGGAATAACAGCAACAATTAACAACGTGGTTAGCACGGTCGATACGAAAGTAGGCGGAAGAGTTTGTACCTGGCTTCCTCTTTAGGAGTTACCGACGGGAATCGTGAACTAATGCCGTAATGTTACAAGACAGTCGCGTAACCGCATCGAAAGGGACATCTACGAGCACGTAAAACCGGGCCATATGATTGGTCGAAGCTCGACTCGCACTTGTGTAAACGTCCGGGGACGTGTCTCAAGAAGGTGGACGCGCGCGTGTGTGTGACTCAAATTGGTGGACGCCGACCGGCTCTGCTTCTTTTTCACAATTTCTTTCGGTTATCCTTACGTATGAGTTCATTCTCTTCTCCTCGTCCATAGACGAGGCTTTGCTTCGTCTAGACTCTATAGACTCTTTGCAGAGCTATGCATGGGCGCCGCCATAACTGACCTTCATAACTGACCTTATTCTGTTTGCGTCACTTCATCACTACCACAGCAGGAGGGGTTATCTCCATTCTACATTATCCTTTTTCCTTGTCCCCAGCATAGACCTTTGCGGAGGCTCGTCAACGTCCGCTTCAGTGGCTCGGCATCTCGGTAAGACAAGACAAGGTCAGCAATGTCGGCCGTAACCTGACGTGCGTGCCAAGGCACAACAACGGGCTGTTTGCAAATCTGCGTTTGCCCACACCGGGTGTGGGCGCTACGCGTCTGCGATCAAACGTCTGCGCATGCGCCGTATCGACGGCAGCGCCACCGCAGTGGCGTGACGTCACAGAGTTGAGTTAATCTGCAATATAGAGCCACTAAAAGAAGCTACGCCGCAGAATCGCGGCCATCGATTCCCGGGAATGTCTCGTGGGTGCCGCCATTTTGTTGTTCGGTGCAGTGCGCGCCATCTAGTAGGAACTACTGCGGCTATTATCTGAGTCCGCCATTGCTTGTGCACGAACTCTGAGCGCATATTGGTCACGAGTGGTGCGCCAGCGTTCGGCGAAGACTAGGGTCCAATTTCACGCTTCGTGCCCGAGAAAATGGCGACCTGCCAAAGTTGCTCGATGGGAAAAGCCGTTGCGATTCATAAATGCAACTTGCTGAGCACAAAAAAGGGGTCACCGCTTCCTATTCCTCCCCCTTCTCTCTCGGACATTTTAGACTCCTTTCTGAGCAAACAGTTGGGGAAAAAGGCGAAAATCCGCCTCTTTCGCTACCGTCGTCCCCTTAGGTACACCTCAGGGACCGTAATTCCACCACCTCCCGAACACTTTTGACGCGCCTGTCTCAGGTGACATCGTTTCGCTCTGTCGTGGGCTGTTTTAACATTCCCAAAGGACGGAAAAAGCGTTTTGTGTAATTTGATTTCAGGTAAAGCTTCAGAAAACTGCAGAGAAGCAATAAGTTTAAGCACCAAGGTCGGTCAAGTGTCGTTGCTCTAAACATTCCCAACCAGCCTACAAATGCGAGGCAATGGCAGAAGGCCAGCGTACATTTTTACATGTACGAAGGTGCTTCGACTCCTTTTTCAGTTCGTATGTGACCGTAGGCCCGCGGAAGAGAATGCCAGTTGCGAAGCTCAGCCGACAAAATGAGTCGATCTCCTTTTACGAGTAGCCTTGACATCGCCTCCGAAGGTAGAAGCTGGGCCACCGCACTCGCGCCGACGCACGGGAGCCCCCGAGCTCGCTTCACGGCCTCGTTTGACCCGGCAAGGCATGCCTCTCCACGCCTTCGGCGTAACGAGCGGCGCATGTATTATATGCACGTCCGCAGGACATCCATGGAACGTTAGGACTAGGGACGTCGTGAACTTTGGTCGAACCTATAGGCTTTGACTGGTTCGGCGAACATCGAGCTTATAGTAAGGTGCGACGAAGTTCGACTTACAGATAGTGCTGCCCGTTCACTACCCAAAAATTTTGAAATTTCGAATCCCATCCTCGTCGCCAGTGATGGGTACTAATGTGCGTCCATACTTTTTCATTGATTTGTTTGGTTTGATTGTACAGTGATATCAGTCCCATCGAAGAGCCTGCGCGTTCTTCACGTGTTTCCATTCTCAGCAATTCTTAACTTGTCAGTCACTATGATGCTCTAATTCACGGAGAAGTTCATTTGGACACGTGTGAACACGTTGCGGGGTTCCTCGCTTACTTCGGTGGAACGGTTCATCCATCCGACAGCCAGTAAGCACGCTAAAGAAATCTGGAGCGTCAACTTACCGGCAAAGCACTAGGGCGGGAGTCGATCGTTCCAATCTACGGGGAGATATCGGTGAACGACGAGGCGCTGAGAAATATGTTTAGGACTACAAAAAGCAGTCTGCGGTATCAGGCTGAGCATGACGTAAGCACATAGAAAGTCATATTTAATGCGTCAGCGCAGTCCTGTTTTTTTTTTTCATGTTTAGACATTTTTTTTTTGTATTATTGTTTGCCAAGCCTTCTCCGTAGATTGTAGAAATTTTTCCCAAATACGTTGAGGAAAGTAGACTCATGATAAGATACAAAGCGCGCAAACAAGGGCGAAAAAGAGAGGATATGTACGACAGACCAGCGCTTACTCGCAACTGAAGTTTTATTGTGTTATATCTGTGGCAGTGCTCGTGCCTTGACGTGCAGCGTGCGCGCGAGACTATCGCGTGAACTGACTGACTGCCTACCCGAGCGACAGCATGCAGCCGTGTTCTAACCGGGCTGATTTCTGTAACCCGTTTTTCTTGTAAATACACCACATTTATTGGCGACGAGGATGTTCGGGTCCACGGGTTGGATCATCGTCTGACTGCTGGGGGCTTGACTGGAGCCAAGGATTGTCCAGCCTCGGAATCCTGGAGCGGCCATCAAGCGGCAACCCCTCAGCGAAGACCATGAGTCGCATCGGGCACATCGAGTCTTTCGACGATACGACGAGCGACTGGCGCTCCTATGAAGAAAGACTGGCGTCATACCTCCTGGTAAACGAGGTTCCCGAAGGTAAGAAGGTTCATGCCTTCTTGAGTCTCATCGGTCCGAAGACGTACGCTTTGTTGAAGTCGCTTACGGCCCCGCAGTCACCGTCCGAAAAGTCGTTTACCGCGTTACTCAAGCTTCTGGGCGATCATCTTGCGCCGCAGCCATCCGTCATAGCGGAAAGGGCGAAGTTCTACAAGCGTTCGCAAGAAGAAAGCGAGTCCATCGCCGAATTTGTAGCGGTACTTCGAGATCTAGCACAGAGCTGCGATTTTGGAGGCTTTCTTGATGAGGCGCTACGCGACCGTTTTGTGTGCGGCCTCCGCCGAGAAGATGTGCAGCGCGTCCTCTTCACAGAAGACAAAAAGCTGACTTTCCAGAAAGCCGTAGAGAGGGCTCTTGCGATGGAAATAGCAACTAAAAGTGCAGCGTTAACGCACACCAGCGGTGCATCGGTCCCTGACGTCCACAAGGTTCGGGTCGACCACAAAGCGCGGATCGACAAGCAAGTACCAGAGCAGTCAAGTTGTTTCCGTTGTGGCTCGACCAACCACCGCAGTGATGCGTGCCCCCACGTCGGTGACACATGTTTCAAGTGCAACCGGAAAGGGCACATTCAGCGCGCCTGCCGTTCGGGTAACAAGAAGCCGACAAAATCGAAACGACAAAGGCAGGTGAAAACGCTGACGTCCGTTCACGACGCGGTATCTCTGCAAGCGGTCAAGGCTGCGGGCTTGGAACCGATCACCGTACCCATAAACGTTGACGGTGTGAAGCTTACAATGGAACTTGACACAGGCGCAGCTGTGTCCGTTGTCTCCTTGGCTGAATTTCGGAAGCTGTTCCCAAGAAAGCAGCTACAACCTACAACGCTGACACTTCGCACGTATACAGGAGACTTTGTGAAGCCGAAGGGTCGGGCCTTGGTCTTTGTGCAGCACAACGACCAAAGTAAGGAGCTTCCACTGTACGTCGTGGAAACCAAGGGACCGGCATTGCTTGGCAGAGAATGGCTGCGAGAAATTCGGCTAGACTGGAAGAACCTGGTCACTGTCAACAGGCTCGACACGTCGGAGAGTCTCAAACAAAAGTTGGACGCCTTGTTGGAGAACCACAGCGACCTGTTCAAAGATGAGCTTGGCACCATTTGTGGAGAACAAGCCGAACTTTTTCTTCGTGAAGGTTCACAGCCGAAGTTTCTGAAGGCTAGAAGCATTCCATTCGCACTGCAAGCAGCAGTCGAAACAGAATTGGCAAAAATGGAAAAGTTGGGAGTCATCACGCCCGTGGCTACCAGCGAGTATGCGACACCCCTTGTACCTGTAGTAAAAAAGGATGGCAGTATACGCCTCTGCGGAGATTTCAAGGCTACGCTCAATCCCTGCCTGGAGGTGGACAGGTACCCCATACCACGTATTGATGAGCTGTTGGCGGCCTTAGCTGGCGGACAAGAATTCTCAAAGATCGACCTCAGCAGGGCTTACCAACAGGTGGTTATGGCGGACAACTCAAAAAAGTTGCTAACGCTGAACACGCACAAAGGGCTGTACGCCATGAACCGTCTTGCTTTTGGCATCTCATCAGCACCAGGCATCTTCCAGAGGATAATGGATAATATGCTGAAGGGCCTGAAGGGTGTCAGCTGCTATCTCGATGACATCCTGATCACCGGAAAGTCGAAGCAAGAACACCTCAGCAATCTCGAAGCCGTCTTGTCGAGATTACAAGAACGTGGTGTGCGAGTGCGGCGTAACAAGTGCTCGTTTTTTCAGCACGAACTACGTTATCTCGGCCACGTCATCAACGCTGAAGGTGTTTGCGCATCCCCTGAGAAAGTGTCTGCACTACTGAATGCTCCTGCTCCGAAAAACAAGCAGCAACTGCAGTCGTTCCTTGGGATGGTGAACTACTACGGAAAGTTCGTTCCGCAACTTTCTACGCTGGCACACCCCTTGTACAAGATGCTGAGACAAGGAGAAGAATGGACGTGGGACGAAGTTTGCCAGTCCGCTTTTCAGAAAATCAAAGCTGCGATGACTTCCCCACCGATCTTAGTTCATTATGATCCCAAAAGACCCCTGCAGCTCGCCTGTGACGCATCGCAATACGGCATAGGCGCCGTTCTTTCTCAAGTTTCTCCGGACGGAAAAGTTCAACCTGTGGCTTACGCGTCTCGTACCTTATCGGAGGCTGAAAAGAACTACAGCCAGATTGAGAAAGAAGCACTGGCCCTGATCTTCGGAGTTAAAAAATTCCACGTGTACATTTACGGCCGTTTCTTCACCTTGATTACAGACCATAAGCCTTTGCAAACCATTTTCGGCCCGAAAACAGGTATTCTAGCAATGGCTGCTGCACGGATGCAGCGCTGGGCAGTGACGCTGTCTACGTACAGCTACTCGCTCCAGTTCAAGAAATCAAGTGACAACACTGAAGCAGACTGCTTGTCAAGATTGCCACTTGACATTGTGGCAGATGAATCTACCGAAGGAAACGAAACTTTCTATTCTCTGCGTCTAGATACGCTACCTGTCACCAGCCGTGACATTGCTCGTGCCACACGCCACGACCCTTTGTTAAGCAAAGTACTCGACTTGACACACGTGGGCTGGCCATCGTCCATCACTGACAAGGAAATGAAGCCTTTCTTTGACAGACGTCTGGAGCTCACTGTGCATCAAGGGTGTCTGATGTATGGCATGCGGGTAGTCGTACCACCAAAACTGCGCAATCTCCTGCTTGAAGAGATACATCTGGGTCATCCAGGTATTGTCAGAAGCAAGGAATTAGCCAGGAGCTACATCTGGTGGCCTTCAATTGACAATGACCTGGAAGAGCAAGTGAAAGCATGTGAAGAATGCTATCAACAGCGGAACGAGCCAGTCCCCGCGCCCCTCCACCCTTGGGCATGGCCGACATCGCCCTGGCAAAGGGTGCATTTGGATTTCGCGGGTCCAGTCAAGGGGAAGATGTTTTTGGTCGCCGTAGATGCACACTCAAAGTGGCCCGAGGTCTATGTGATGGAGAAGACGACATCACAGCACACGATCCAACGTTTTCAGGACTTGTTTTGTCGTTTTGGTGTACCTGAGGCCATTGTTACGGACAACGGTCCTCAGTTCGTCTCAACAGAATTCAAGTCTTTTATTAAGAATCTAGGAGGCCGTCACATCTTGAGCGCGGCCTATCACCCGAGTACTAATGGCCTCGCGGAGAGGTTTGTCCAGACATTGAAGTCTGCTCTCCGAAAAGGACGACCGCAAGACTCCCTGGAATTGACGGTACAAACGTTTCTTCTGACGTACCGCAATACCCCTCACACGACGACAAAAGAAACACCTGCCACTTTGTTCTTAGGCAGAAGACTTCGCGTAAGACTCGATGCCATTAAGCCTTCCGTTGGGGGAAGAGTAGGACATCAACAGTTCGTCCAGACCTCGCAGCGAAAGGCGCGAACAAGGATTTTTAGTGTGAACGACAATGTTCTCGTGAGGAACTATAGAGGCTCCCAGAAGTGGATTCCCGGCACAATTCTGAAGCAATCTGGCCCAGTGTCCTTCCAGGTTCGAGTCACGACTGCTCGGGGCATATATATCTGGCGCCGTCACCAAGACCAGATGCTTCATCATCGTGAAAACTCGATGCAAGCCACATCAGACGGATTCCTGCCCGACCTGAGGGATCCAGAGAACTGCGTCGACGAGCCTGTGGTCAGTGAGTTTGCAACCACCCCACAGAGGGCAACCGACAGTCCCGCTGTGCAACAGCGCTACCCCACAAGACATCGTCGTCCTCCAGACAGATACGACGCATAACGTTTTTGGCATTGTGTGCAGTGTGTGTTTTCCTTTGGTTTCTTCAATTACGCCGGGGGAAATGTTATATCTGTGGCAGTGCTCGTGCCTTGACGTGCAGCGTGCGCGCGAGACTATCGCGTGAACTGACTGACTGCCTACCCGAGCGACAGCATGCAGCCGTGTTCTAACCGGGCTGATTTCTGTAACCCGTTTTTCTTGTAAATACACCACATATTGAAACTTGGGAAAACACGAAGATAGTTTTTCTCGCCGGCTGTACATGCGTCGCTCTGAGGTGCCAGTTGTTTTGAGCGCAACATAAAAATTGATACAGTTGTGCAGGTTAGTTCGCTTGTCAAAAAAGAAGAAAGATATATATATATATATTATGTGGGAAGAAACATGCAAATCAGTTTGTCAACTGCCGAGTCGGCGTCGTGTACTGCATTCCACTGTCTTGTGGTAAGACTGGACGTTGTATTAATGATAGACTGGGGGAGCACTGCAACAGCGCCACGCGGGGTGGTAACAAAACGGATTCCTTCGTTTTCTTGATTAGAACCGTAAAGAAAAAAAAAAAAAAGGGGGGGGGGGGGGAGTAACTGAATGACGCATGTAAAGCAGGCGAAAAAAACTATCTTCGTGTTTTCCCAATTAGTTTCAATAAGACGTCAGTTCCGAGTAAGCGCTTGTCTGTCTGTCGTACGTGTCCTCTTTGCTCCGTCCTTGTTTTTTGCGCGCTTTCTATTTTATCATGAACTGCTACCAACTAGCCCAACGTTCAACCCTGCCGCTGGAAAGTAGAATCTCCAGATTGCAGGGCGTGGCTTATAACGTTCAAGCTCGTCGAATGCCGCAATCTTATTGGCTGCTGAGTGATAATGAGATGCTTGGAATTCGAGGCACCCTGCGTTTCTTAAGTTGTCGGCAACTATAATGACTATAGGGACCCAAATTAATTTCGCCGAACCAAGACAAGCAGACGACCTCGCGCCCGAGTTTTGCAATTCAAATCCGCTACACGAAAGCGCGTCATTGCGTCGTGACGTCAGTCAAGAAAAGTTCGTTACTTTGCATCCTATCCCGCGCCGGTGAAAGGGGGGGGGGGGGGGGGGGGGGGGCAATACGAAAACGAGAACGAACCGTAGCAGACGATGTTGAAATCAAAACCGGTTGAGAAACCCCTCATCAGCCGGCGATGCCCGAAACCGAAACCAAGCGTGAAGCACGGCAACGCCTCTCAAAGCAAAACCAAGGTGGTGGGACGCATTAAATGTTTCGCGGCAATTTTCCAATTCTGCAATAAGTGGGACAGCAACGTTTCAGGGTTGGTCGTGACCAGAAAACTGAACAGAAAAGGAGGCAGACGACCACTAGCACCTAGAAGACAGGGCCTGCACCTTTACCCCCCTCCCCAAATGTCATCACTGATGATGATGATGATGACAAGGCGTTTTACGCAGCGCCTCCTAGCGTGCGTCAGCGTCGCCGCCAGCCCCGCCAGCACGTCGTGTAGCGACTCACAGCGAGCGCTTCGGCGTGTTTGCCGCTTGGGGGCGGGTCGAGAAAGAACTATTGATGACGTCACACGTGAGCCCTGTCTTCTAGGTGGGAATGAAACGGCGCGGGGTAGGAGTTCGTTAATTAAATATTCCCCGGGAGAGCGGGGAACGTGCGTTGACCAACCGAGAGACCACACACGTCGGTGCGTGCGCGCCTCGTGCTGAGGACCGTGGAATGTCAAGGGCGCTCGACGTAATTTTGCTGCGTGTATGTTTGGACAGCCATATGTTATTCGCTAGCTTGTTGCATGTGCAGTCGAGGGTAACACGCGACGGGGATCACTAAACATCGTTTACATATATGTATATTAAATTTTGTATAAAACGGGTTACCGGTGACAGAACTTGAAGGCAGTGTTTAAGGAGTGATCGTTTAAGTTTGCAGACATTGTTAGATTAATGCGTTTTGTAGGTTGTTTTGATGAATTTTGATATATATATATAATGACGTTTTCTATGAACGTTTTGTGAACCCACCCCCCGATAAAATGACTCACGGCAATGGAAGCCTTTATTGTAAATACATAAAACAATAAACCGTGGTTTCGGGGTGTGAATGTAAGTTTATTGTTTCATACTTTTCTCGCTATTTGAGCGGGAAAATGTGCCGACGTCACCGTGCGTATTTATGCAACACGGTGTCAAGTCGTGGTGCCATGACCGTCATTTGAAGTCAACGTCAACTTCACCGCTAAGTTTAACGCGAAAATGCGCGGGCTTACGAACCGAGAAACTATATATATATATATATATATATATATATATATATATATATAGATATATATATATATAGATATAGATATATAGATATATATATTGTGAACTAAGGGGGGAGAGTGATTATTAAATTTATTGCATTGAAAGTTGGGGAAAGGGAAAGAGAGCTGTAGAAAAAGTGTACCAGGAGTGGAGATCGAACCCGCAACCTTCGCCTATCCTGAGCGACGCCTTAACCGATTAAACCATCCCGGCCATTTTTCTGACGAACACAGCTTGTTCTTGATATAATCGTATTATTAGCTTCGTCATTCGCTGGGGTCTTTTTATCGTTCGCCGTGACTGTCTCGCTCCGTGCTCAACAGGAAAGCGAACTCGTATACTTTTTTGTTTGTTTTTCTTTCCAACGTGTTCCGTGCTGTCGCGCCATTATGCCCGCTGTTGTTTGACCGAACCGCACGTGTGCGTGCTCGGTAATACTTTTCATTATCAAGTCCACACTTCGTTTCGCGTTCCCACACTCGGTTCGAAGCAGTCGGTCTCTGAATACAAGATCGAGTTCTCCAATTCTTCCCATCAAATAAACACGAACGAATGTGTGTTTGTGCAAAAGCGGTGCTTCATGGAGGTATACCGTTTTCGGCTCGGGTCGCGAGAAGGCAGAACATGTTGTGTCCATCGACGAACATCAGTGTTTGCCGTAACTAATAAAACTGCTATGGGATATGAAACATCCGCGGACGCGTGATTCCGACTATTATGTCTGTTGATCCGCGCTGCTATACCGGTACCGGAAGCTGAGATATTCTGCGCTGACTTTGATTTCGAATAGGATCTCTTCAATTAAAGAGTCGCGGAGCGCGAGGGCGTTGAACAAAGCCGGTTAAAGTACGTCACAGGAGCAATCGGATGAGCAACGTGCGCGGTTGCGGTTGCGGTAAGGTCATAACGCCGGGCTATGATTGGCTCCGATTGGAAAGAAAGTGGGTAGACCTCAAGGCAGCTAGCACTGAGGTCTACTGACTCTCCTTCCGATCGGAGCCATTCAGAGCTCGGCGTTCTGATCTGCACCGCTGTAGCAAAATAATTTGATGGCGTAGTTGGTTGAACATAGTACACACAATTAGCGCAACAGGAGAAGAACACAGGAAAGAAAGAGAAGACAGGACAGAGCGCTACTTACTACTGACGTTTTATGACAGGAAAGAGGAAGACAAAGATACAATTAAGACTAATATCACAAAAAAAAGGAAAAGAAAGTGAAAAAAAGAAAAGAGTAGCAGTAAGAATAACCAGAGAGATAGTATTTACAAAAATCGACAAAATTATTTATAAGTATTAAGTGACAAGCTGGTGGAAAATAAAAATTAAATTAAGGCAGAGGAAAGGAAAGATAAGAAGTTGAAGAAGAAGAAATGGAGAAAAAACTACTAAATATTCAAAGAAAGGATAGAAAGGACAGGAAGAGAAAGATTAAAACAAAAAGAACAGATCTGAAGCGTTTCGCACAAAAGCAAAAAAGAAAGAAAGTGAAAAGAAGAAAAAAAAAAAGAAAAAAATAAAGAAAAAGAAAATGCCTATAAAAATCCAAGTAGTGAAGTTCTTTCGCTGGCAAGTTTACTGATGGAGCACTGACGCACACATCCCCTCTGGTGGCTATAACTTGGGCTTCCATTATTTCTCGTGTTCTCTTGTCAACGGATCGTCGCAAGATCTATCAAACAACGAATGACACCCACAATCCCTTGCATGTACGGCAAAATGCCCCGACGGAGCAGATTTCAGAGAGAGAGAGAGCGCATGTTCTCTTAGCGTAACATTGATGCACCGCCCTGATTGCCCCATATATGACTTCCCACAAGATAATGGGATATCGTAGACGACACCGCAGGAGCAGTTGACGTATTGGTGTGCAAGTTTCACGCTGCATTCGTCGTTCCGGTCTTGCGGGTTATTTATCCGGGGGCAGAGACTTCTTAACTTGTCAGGAGCAGAGAACACCACCTTTCATTTCATTTCATTTATTAATCCCTTAAATGCCCACGTGGGGCATTTAAGGGATTAATAAATGAAATGAAATGAAGCAGTCTTTGTACACTTCAGGCAGCCTTTGAGGGCAGGCGGTCTTTGAGGGCAGGCAGTCTTTGTACACTTCAGGTACACAGTACAAAAGAAAAAGAGAAAAAAAAAAACGAACAAAAGATTACACAAGTGGGCTACAGGCCGTAAAAGGTGGCAAGTGCTTCTCTAAATTTTGAGATATCCGATATTGTTACTATTGAGTCTGGTAATTTATTCCAATTATTAATAGAAAGCTGCAGAGGCGAAAATTTAAATATATTTGTCCTATGGATAAAAGAAGCTTGCAGGAGTTATCTAAGCGACGGGAGGTGTGAGGTGCAGGTATGCAGCATAAAGATCTCTGCAAAGGAAGATGATAGTAAAATTTATGTAGAATGGTTAAGGAAGATATCGTCCTACGTTCTTTAAGAGAGGGGAGGCCAAGTTGAGTTTTAAGATTACTGACACTAGCCGTGAAATTATAATTTCTATGAATAAACCGTACCGCTCTGTTTTGGACGGCCTCTAACATCTCTTCTAAGAATAGCTGATGGGGATTCCAAACCTATGAGGCGTACTCCAGCTGGGGACGAAGAAGTGAGGTGTATGCTAAAAATTTAGTAGAGGCAAGAAAAAGGTTGCGTCGCAAAAAGCCGAGTGCCTGGTTAGCTTTGCTGACAATGCTAGTTATATGACATTCCCATGAAAGACGGCATGTTAAGTAAACCCTGAGGTAATTGTAAGTTGATACATTTTCGATAATATTACCGGAAAGGTAGTATTGAAAGTCTATTCTGTTACGTTTCGTAGTGAAAGTCATTTGTTTAGTTTTATTTACGTTTATTTGCATCTGCCACCTTTCACACCAAGATTCTATAGCGTGAAAATCAGTTTGGAGTTGAGCACACTCAGAGGGATCGGAAATTTTAGAATACGCAACACAGTCATCAGCATATAATCTAATTGAAGACTTAATTAGGGAAGGCAGATCATTAACGTAGATGAGAAATAATAATGGACCCAGCACGGTTCCCTGAGGTACTCCGGATTTAACTGCTATATAAGACGAGCAACTGTTGTTAAGGGCTACGTACTGTGTTCGGTTTGAAAGAAAATGAGCTATCCAGTTGATTAGAGTTTCTTCAATTTTAAGCGAACGTGATTTTATAATAAACGGTGATGAGGAACCTTGTCAAACGCTTTTGAAAAGTCAATAAAAATAGCATGCGTTTCAGTATGGTGATGAAGGTTTTTATGAATGTCTGTTATAAATTGAAAAAGCTAGGTGTCACAGGACAGAGACCGTCGGAAACCGTGCTGGTTTACAAAAAGTAGACCATTATCAACCACGTAGTTCATAATTTTTGAATAAACAATATGCTCCATCAACTTACTTGCAACACAGGTGAGAGAAATGGGCCTATAATTCGTGGGGCAATCCTTGTCCCCGGTCTTAAATATTGGGCTTACTCGAGCATGTTTCCAGTCAGGGGGTACGTCACCGGAGTCAATGGATTGTTGGAATAGCTTGCATAGAAGAATACTGGAAACAGGCTTAGTTAATTTAAGCAATTTAGTCGACATGTCATCCGGGCCTAGGGCAGAACTATTGGGAAGGTTATCAATCATTTTTTCGATACCAAACGGTGTAATAGAACTAGGGTCCATCCTGGTTGTGATTGTGTATTGGGGCGTGTGGTCGGGTAAGGGAAAAGACTCTTCTGTGAAAACATCGCCAAAATAAGAGTTAAGTGTCTCACAGTTTTCTCTTTCGAGAGTTCATTTCCACCCGAGTCAACGATGCGGGGGAATGGTCTGATTTACTTGGGTTTTATAGTTGACCAAAATTTCTTGGGGTTTGTTTTCAGTACATTAAAGAGATCTACGTTAAAGAGTTTATGCTTAGCTTTCTTGATTTCATGCTTGCAAGTCGAGGCGCATTCTCGGTATTTAGACCACGCTGATGAGGTTTTTACGAGCTTTGCGCGACTATAGAGCCTTTGCTTTTTACTGAGAAGCCGTTTGAGGCGAAGAGAAAACCAAGGGCGCTATGAACTCTCGGAACATATGTGTGCAAGGCTTCTATTAGTGCATTCCTGGTTAGGATCCAATTTTCATCAACAGTTCTACTTTGAAAACCCTCTAGAAAGGTATGCATGAAACGTGATAGATGGAGAAGAAGAGAATTTTGGTCGGCTCGAGGGTAACTAAACACAGTCTTACCTAATGGGCAGGACTTAGTCGTTGGAATGGACGATTGGACGTAAATAGACAAACGATCTCTAAGAGGTTCTAAGAGTTCGACAGCTGTGACACATTCCGGGTCGGTAGTGAGAAATAGGTCAAGAGTTGCGGAGCCGCGAGTTGGCTTATCGACCATTTGGAAAAGAGAGTGCGCGCTGCACCAGTCAACGAAACACCGGGCCTGAGTGGCCTGAGCGGGAAGAGAACGCCACAAGTTGAACGACATGGGGGCAGCTACAACAGGCCATGCGATTTCGGGGCAGTTGAAGTCACCAGCAAGCATAAATACGTCTGAGGGATACAACTTGGTGAGGGATTCTATACATTTCTCGAGAAGGGACGGTAGTCCTAAAAGGTCTGGTGGTTTGTAACAGGCAATGATCAGTACAAAGGACGAAGGCGTCTTTATTCGAACCCACGATGCTTCACAATCATTCAGCACTTGGCTCTTCAGAACATGCAATGTATTTTTAACCGCTATAAAATCACCGCCTCCCCTGCGTCACACCCTGTCTTTACGAAAAATTGAATGCGAATCGTTCAACAGTAATTCAGAATTATCAATATCTCCGTTTAACCAAGATTCTGTTATAATCCCAATATCAGCAGAACATGAATTCACAGCAGATTGTAGCCCTTCTTGTTTTGAGCACACGCTTCTTGCGTTGGCGATAAAGAAAGAAAGGCTGGCAGAGTGCTCGCGTCGGGGCAATATCTTTTCTTTGTGCTTTGGTTGCTACGCTGGAACAGCTTTCCCGGAATTCGTTTCCTTGTCAAACGCGTACCGAGTACTTCCAATGAAAAGCTTATCGTGCCGTAGTCGAAAATCATGACCTTGGTTTTTTGCGAACGCTAACAATGCCCGCCTTGCAACGCGTACGTCTGGGGAGAAATCTTCGCTTAGCCGGAAGATTGATCCCCTTAGTGCGGGACCCTTAGATAAGATGAGTTCTTTGTCTTTGAAAGAGTTAAATTTGACTATTATAGGCCTGGGAGGGGAGCCCTCATTACGCTGCTTTCCAAGTCTGTGAGCACGCTCAATGCCGGACGGCGTGGGAGTAACGCCAAGACTTGTGTGGCAGAAACTTATTACTTTTTCTTCCGACTCCCGCCATATTTCGTTAGGTGTGTCTGGGATGTTATAGAGCAGAATGTTGTCCCGTCGAGACTGATTTTCCAAAAAGTCATCTTTTTCCGCGAGGTGTTGCAGTGAAATAGTGTTATCTTGAACTATGTTCGAAATTTTATCAACATCGCTTTTCAGCTTTGTCATGCCTGAAAATTCTAGCTTCATGCCGGCGATCTCCGATTTCAAAGATTCGAGAACACAGTCAGTCTGGTTTTGCCTTTGTTGCAACTTTCTAATTTCTTGCAAAATCCGATTTTGACCCTCCGCTAATCTATTTAACACTTGGTATTTGGCGGCGACTCTCTTGAAGTTATGCGAGATGCGGTGGATGTAAGGTACGACCGCTGGTTGGCGTCTTCGCTCTACACTGTTCTTTCGAGTTCGCTTTGATTTCAGCAACCCTTCCACAACTTCTGACTTGATGGTGGCGGGGTACCCTGAATTCTGTAACCGTAACACTTGGACATAGAAGCTCTGTCCTGCTGAATGCATACATAATTTTTTTCAGGGCCGCGGTCAGTCAGTTGGAAACAGTTCCTCTTTTAATGAGTTTGAAGAGTGCCGAATCATATTGGAGTAGTCGTTTTTTAGATCTTATGCCGCAAATCTAGAAATTGTAGGGTGCTGTTAATCGGAAACTCGTGTGTAAACTGAAGCCCCTCAGCGCGATCAAGAAAAACGTTTTTGATGGTGTCATAAAGGGCACTGTCGTTTGATCCTGGTGATTCTTTAAGCAGCACAAGGTAGTCATCAACATATCTAAATATGCGTGCTACCTGGGGTGGTAGACTTTGTAAGATGGCTCTCTCCCACTCACATTTTGACAGACAGATGTCGCACAGCACAGGAGCCACACACGACCCGATGCAAATTCCTTCCTTTTGTCTGTAGATCTTTCTTTTTCCTGTGTTCGTCCCCTGTGTTCGTCCCCTGTTGCGCTAATTGTGTGTACTCTGCACCGCTGCCCTGGCGCAAGAAGCAGATGGACTTTCACTCCGGTCACCGACATCCTAGGAAATACAGGGTGTAACGAATCCTGTGAATGTCATTATCACACTGCAGGCAATCAGATTGCGACATTTGCCGCTTAGAACGCCAAACGAACAAATCACGAAACAAGACGAGCGAATATAATGTGCAATACCCTGCGTCTGTTAGTGTCTGACCATGGCTACCATTCGGCACGGGTGGCCTAACCTATGGCAGCGAGTCCAGTCCATTCGCGTCTGGCTGGTGGAGGCAATTGCCTCCACCAATTAGACGCCCATATGTCACGACCTTTTAAGATGTATATGTAAATGTACAACCTAGCTGCCGAAGAATGTCCTCACGAAGCGCAAAATCGTGGACAAAATAATTGCTATAACTTGTGTTCCCTGTCACTGATTGTAGCGAAAACTGTACACACAAAAGGTGTGGCGAGAATCGCACCGTCGCTTGTTATGTTTTTCGGCGTTTTCTTTTTTTTTTTTTTTTTTTTTTTTTTTTTTAAGTGTTGCAGTTTTATTTGTTGCGGAGACATACGCGTTACAGCTTCACTGCCCCCGGCGAATATTGGCCGGCGCCTCTTTGAGGATTGGCAAAGGTATCACCATCTCCGCCGCAAAAAAAAAAAAAAAAAAAAAAAAAAGAAGATAAGTAAATAAATAAAAACGAAGCTTCGCCTGGACCGCGCACGCTTCTGCGTCATTCACAAGCTCGTAGCTGCTGTTTCGTTCCGGAAGGAAATTAAGTGCGTACGACAGACTTGGCTCGGCACCAAGCTATACGATCAAGCCGAGACGGTCGCCATGATGGATGGGCGGGCGGCCTTGAAAGGATCAAGTCAGGCATGGCAGCGGATTCGCCGCTCATTCGTCGCGGACCGCTTCGGCGCCTTTAGAGCCACTTAATTTGTACTTGTATTTTGTATCCGCATTTCACTAGCCATTTCGTGTGGGGTGTCAGAGGACAAAAAGTGAACGTAAACAGCTGACAAATGTTCCGTACCCCTTTACAGGTCTCAGCCGGGTACCACAGGCACAGATTCATGTCCGCTATTTGTGTTTTTAATTATATATATATATATATATATATATATATATATATATGGAGAAGAGTGGAGGTGGGAGGATGGGGTTGGATGTGTGTTAGGCGGTGTTGGAGGTCGCTCGGAAGGACATGTCCTGGAGGTGACACCCGCTCGCCTCTTGTCCGTGCTCGGTGCAGGACCATGTCCGGGGTCTGTCTGCGGCTGGGTTCCCCGTCGCCCGAGAGCCGGAGCAGTGCCGTCGTGTCCCTGCTCAGCCACGCCAGGACCCCGAAGGTGCCGTACAGCGAGCAGAAGCGCTCGCTGAGCGCCGCGCTGCTCGACGACGCCCGCTTCGCTTCCAACGGAGAGCTCCTGCAAACCATGGAGAAGGGAGGTAGGCCTGCAGAAGGGACGTCACCCACCGTAGACTGCTGTGCGGATTGGCCCCGACTACTGCGACGGCGTTCGACTCGTGCCCTCACCGAGCGAGCACGAACGCCAGCCGCGTGCTGACGCAGCACTCGGGGCCAAACTGTGCCCGGTGCCGTGGCCTCCTGTGGATGACGTAGAAGGTTCTAGCATCGCGGCCTTGTTGCCCCGCTTGTCGCGAGCCCGTTCTGACCGGAAGTGTCTCGCGCAGTCATGTACCCCGTGGTGCACCTGCTCGAGCTGCCCGGGCCCTTCGCTCCTCTGGACGACCAGCTTCTGGGCCAGGACTACTTCGGCGACCACTTTGCACTCCAGCAGGGTGAGGCCGCAGTGCAGTGCTTGACGGCCCCCGCAAACACGGGGTGCCTAGAGTCACCCAATGATGCTACGCCTCAGAGTAGCGATACTTAGTCACCCAGCTTGGTGCTTTAAATCACGGTTGCTATACTCGTTTTCACCTCAAGAAAAAAAAAAAAGGAAGTTTTACACATTATTCATACGCCGCGCGAAGTAATTCTTCAAGATTTGGTTGTCGAAGGAAGAAGAGATGTTTTTGGCGTCTGAACCGTCTACATCTTGATAAGATGTAGACGGCTCTCTATAACCTAAAATTCACCCACACATATCCGTATTCTCCACATAAAAGGAGAAATTAATAATGCACCGGAAAAAAAACCGAACTTTTTTTTTATTGTGGTTTTTGAAGTGAAAAGGGAGTATAGTAATATCTGAAGCTTTTTTGTGAAATCGCAGGGAACGGTTTTCCATGCTCCAAAAATGTTAAAACAAGCCACGACGCAGCGGGATGATATCATTCAATCTGTTTATTTGCACCTGTACAAGTACAGGTGCCGAGGAGACGGACAAAAAGCCAACAGTTGTTTGCTTGATAAGGTCTGCTCTCCCGCCTTCTTTGCCAAGCGAGCTACAACATCGAAAATATAACTAACGCGTGCCTCATAAAGATATAAAAAACAAAACAGAACAATCTGGCCGGAAGTGTCTATTGTACACTGCTGGTGATACTAACAAAAAGACAAAAGGGAAATGAATTGATGGGGAGGAAATAAATCATACTTTTGGCTTCTAGGCTAGGTGGCGCAAGCTACCACCAGTTATAAAAGCTCCACTCGTTAGCATCCATCCATCCATCCAAGCAATGGTGTGAAAACACTCCTTGTTGATTTGAGAGTCACGTGTTTCATGTGAATATCATCTCGTAAGAAGCTGGGGATTCTAGACGAATGCCACAGTTCGACTTTCATGAACAGTCCACGGATAGTCATGCCGCAGGTTGTAAGCGTAAATGTTTGCGGTTAAATCAGATATGTTAGTTAGTTGGAGCATGTTAAGTTCATTTCCAGTTATGTATCCAAATCGCGACTTTCTGCACTGTTCGCCACTTCAGAAGCAGTAAAGAGTGCATATTAACAGCTTTAGTCTGCGCTCAAGGTGCACGGGTGCACGGACGCCCGCTGAAGGTTGTCACAACATATCGGGTGGTTTCGCTTCTACTTCGGAGTATGCTTCGAACCCCGTGTTGTGAGCAGAGGAAGATAGAGTCACTACATAAAGTTACGCTTTCAGAGTACCGAAACTCCCAAACTACGCGTCTGAAGCGCGTCAGGCGCCGCCATCTTGGGTCCACGTGCAGATAGAGGATTGACTGTGGCTGAGCCAAGCCGAGCTGTAGCCGTCGCCGGCGCCAGCTGCCGTAGCCGCAGCTGTGGCAGCGAATCAAGGTCGTGTTGTTCGCATCTCAAAGTAAGAAGGAAAAAATGCATGCTGAGCGACGGACTTCAGCGTGCGCGCGCAGCGGATCGCTGGACCCAAGATGGTGGTGTTGAAAAAACGCGATGATGATGACAGCGACTCACGTGACTGCCGCTGTCCAATGATGCCGCAGCGAACCAAAATATTGTTGAATAGAGCGACTGTATTGTCGGCAAAATGCCAAAGAGAAGGAATGCGGTACTCTGAAAGCGTAGCTTTATTTAGTTACTCTAGGTGAAGAATAAATATCAAGATGATTTATATAAAAATATATATATATATATTTAGCGTTTGCCTATCAGTGTTTGCGTCCCATGGGCATTATTTTTCTATTTTACGCAAAAAGTGATCAAGCAGGAAATATATTATTACAGGCGTGGTGATAGAGAGTCACTCTCTTTCAGATGAAGTGATTTACATAATGTAAGTTTGATATAAATAAAAAAAAATTGATTTATTCCATATTTTAAAAAAAGTTATGATTTTTTCGACTGGATTTGAGCCATTTCGGTCCTTCGTAGAATATTTGCTATTACCTCTTTAATATTTCTAAACATGCGACGAATTTGTATATGTCCGTATATGCCAAGCATAAATTATCGTAACGGGGTTAGCCAGTCCCTGAATAACTTGCCGCCTCAGAGAAGCCACCATTGCGAGCACGACAGTTTGAGCGGGTCTGCTTTGCACGCCGCTCGTCAAGTGCACGCATCGTTGCAGCGCGCTCATGCTTGATGCTTTGGCTTTCGTTCGAATATAGTACAGCATCGAGGTGAATCACGTCAGCATTTCTCCTCGAACGGGTGTCTAAGAACATCACGCGTCCACGTCCTCAGTCAAATGACGACACCGCAACACGAACCCTCCCCGTGACGTCAAGCGTTACATGACACTGGTTCACCGTGCACGCAGGTATCTACGAGGAGATCCGGCAGCATGTGCTCTACGACCAGAAGCACTACACGCGGCCCAACGAGCGGAGCACGGCCTACATACTGGCCGGCTTCAAGGTGCTGGACGGCACCTTCCGCGACGTCATGGAGGACAACTGGAAGGACTGGACCGGCGCCCGGAGCCTCTACATCAACCTCAACCAGGAGTTCGGGCTCCACCGGTTCTCGCTGTTCAGGCGCACCTGTCCCTCGGCAGACTTCGCCACCTTCTCGTACGTCATGCTCGTCGAGTGTCGGTCCGTCAGCGCGGACAACGCCGTGGGACTGCTGGACTTCGTGCAGCGTTTTCGGTCGCACCGGATGTCCGGTTATCTGTCCGTCTACGCCGTCCGCCATCTGGGGCTCGAGTCGTACAGCAGCTCGAGGTCGGGCCTCCCGCTAAACGTCAACGCCCGGTCCGACTGGTGGAAAGTGGTCCAGGACGCTGTGGCATCGAGCAGCGCCGGAAGCACGTCTGACCTGTCCTCCACGTCCGAGTCGACCAGCTCCGAGGACAGGCTCCCAGCGCCGAAGAGTAGTTACCAAGCGGCCCGCGTCGCCAATCTGCCTGTGCTGTCCCAACTCCCGGCCGTTGAGGAGACGAGACGGTTGGTGAACGCCGGTCGGAGATGGCAGCAGGGCAGTCCCATGACGCCCATCTACGAGAACCAGCCGGGTTACAGAACACCCTCTGAGTTGGGAACGACCATAATCTCGAGGTCGGCGTCATCCAACGATTCCACCAACGGCCTCGGAGAGACGGACCTGTCTTATTCGGTTGGTGATTCGTCCGTGCTGAGCAGCACTGTCGGCAGCGGCTCGGACATGGAGATGGAAGCGTCTGGTTGGGACCCCCGTCCGTCTAAGGGGAGTGTGCGGCGAGTGTGGTTCGAAGACTGCTGTCTTCTGGAGGATGTGATAGCGCAGGCAGCTGAACGCTGTAGCCAGCAGCATGTCGATCGGTGCGAGACGCGGGGTACTTCTTCGCGCTCTGTCGCCGCGAGAGCGAAAGAATATCACGAGTTGGATGAGATGCTTCGAAACCTTCAGTGCGTCAGCGTCGCTCCTCAGCAGTCGGTCCGAAGAAAGCTGTGGTGAAACATGTTTCACTCGGTACCTACCAGTGGCGTATGACCAAAAACGCACTGATGACACAATTCGTATCGACGCACACGTAGGGAACAAATTAGGCGTGGGTGTACGAAAAAACTTTTGGCGAATTTGCGGCCTTTATGCACGGTACCGTTTGCGCGATGCAGCTTGCACAATGAAGTTTGAGAGTTCATGCACGATGCAGTTTGAGAGTTCGTGCACGATGCAGTTTGATAGTTATTTCTATCTATACTAAGATCGAATCTCTTGAAGTCGTTAATAAGAACCAGAAGTGTGATGTGCGCGCTTCAGCAGTGCTGCCGGATTTTTCCCTATATATAAGGTTTGAGGGCATTCTGTACGCAGTTGTAAGGGTAGCTACTGCAAAAGTTATTGGGTTAGTATACTGTATACTTGAGCTGACATGCAATTAAGTTACAAATTGAGTTACAGAATGCTCTTTGCAATTGTAGCTAGCTACAGCAAAAAACGAAGTGACATAAAATTACTTGTGAACTGCTTCAGTAGGTGAATGTTATGGCGGCTGTGATTGCCAAGATACTGCAAGAGAACAAGCCGTTCAGGCATATTGGCGTGAAATAGACAATTTGCGACGCATTTCCGACATTAGGATACCGAAATGTTGACGCTGAGCGCTAAGTGACATGAAAAGGTTTACTCTCATCACCAAACAGCTGAGTTATATTACAGGTGGGGCATCAGTCCGCCATAGGCGCCTGCTGTACGCCTTTGAAAATGCTTCATAACTTGCAAACTGAAATAGAGAATTGAAGAAAGTGGAGAAAATGGTAAGCCTGCGTCTCCTCTCTACCCCCCCCCCCCCCCCCCTTTTCCTTTTCTTTCAAAAAAATAAATAAATACAACGAGAATAAATACACAGCAAACGAAGGAGGTGAGGCGTCTGTCTGAGAGATCAATATCATCTGTTGGGCTAGTTGGTTAGACATGATCAGATAAAATCAGCGCAAACGTATTTTCGTTGGGTTTTCCTCTTCCTTTTATTTTTTAAAAATGCTTCACTTCCTTCTTGTCTTTTCTATTAAAACGTCAGTTGTGAGTAGCGCTCTGTCCTGTCCTGTCTTACCTTTCTCTTCTCTTGTCGTTTGCGCTAATTTCATCTGATCATGTCTGAGAGATGCCTGGCCCATATGCCCTTCTGGAGCCACGAGCAAACGAAGCGTTGTGCAGTGCTACGATTGCGTATAGGCATCCTTGATGCGATTGCACACAACGTAAATTAGTAACTTAAAAAAAAAAAGAAGTGCTCCATTTTTTTAATGGTTTCACGTCCGTTTAATGGTTTCACGATCGGACGTTAGGTGTTGCACACTGTTTCAGGAGTGCATCTTCCTTGTTTGGCGGTCCTGTTACATGGTCATACAAAGTGTTTAGAAATGTTCGTTGCTTACACATGTGTGAGACAAACATGCTTCAAAGCATGTCCGCAGACAATAATGTAATCATGTCTGCAGAGAACTCCTTGTCTGTTGTATGAATTATGAACAGTGTGAGTGGGATTTTAGTCTCCTCCCTCTCTCTCTCTCTCTCGTCACCGCCAGTGCACACAAGGACTGCTCCAGAACGTGCATACGTTCTTCAGAAATATCAGGTAAGGAACTGAAGGAATTGCCATCGGTCGGCAAATAATTTTGTTGCGACCGATTGTGCATAGGAAAAGAGGTTTGATGAATGGTAAACTGTGGTGGACGTTGAGGTTCAAACCGACGCTTTGTGTAGAAGCATCATGCTTTTGAGGAGCGTATTGGAGACTTGTGAAATGGCCCGATTGCCACCGCGCGCACGGCTGTGTAACTGACGTAACTGAAAATATACGAATCGACAGCAGCGACTCTTTCTTTTTTTTTTTCCTTTCTGAGCGCGCAAATCTTTTTTTGGGAAACAACGGGGCTCGGTTACCAAAACTTCCCTTTTTGGTACAACACACCAATGCGAACGTGTGAATTTATCTGATATGATTTCCCATCGAACGTTACCTAATTAATGTACGTATGATAAAAAAAAAAAAAAAAAAAAACTTTTAGCCTTTTTATTTTGGTGAAGAATTGGACGTTTACTCGTCTCAGTCGTCTGTTGCTAGTTGAAAGATGTGGTTGTTTTAATTGTTTTATTTTTTCTTCATCCATGAAGGAAGAGCAGCGGAGCTGTTCTATGTGCCGCCACCTATGAGCGACGGCGGCAACCAGACAACCGGCAAGCCAGTTGTCTGGTTGCCGTCGCCTCGATCCTTTACGTTACCCTACGTAAGCTTACGTACAAGCCATCGGGATATCTGTGCTTCATATCAAGCGTGGCTACCAATTCGAGGAGGTATACGTGGCACACGACATTCGAGATACAAATGTTTCGGTGACTTAGATGTAACACAAGAAAACCACGTCTTTAAAGGGGCGATGCGACAATTTTTGTACTTTGCGCAAATACCGCTTAAAACGGATCCCTGACGTTAATGACCCATGAAACACGCGTTCGTTTTTCACCCCACGCAATAGAAGTTTCAGAAACAAAATTAAAGAAAAACGAGCACCGTTCACCCCCTCAACTCGCAGCCAGAACAAGCAGCCACGTGATCTGGAGCCGATTATATGCCGCCAATGTTGATCATAGCCACGCGCTGGGGTTGGCAAAGCACAGGACACGCGCTGAGTTTCAGACATTGTTATGGCTCGGCTATTGTCGTCGTTGCAGTGATTGGACACGGGCCACTACCCGAATGCATGTCGAGGTATCGATTGTCACGAGCCCAGATCGAATGCGTACGCAGTCTTCGCGTCCACTGTGTGAGCACCATTTGAATATCGTCACCGCAAAGCTCGATGACGCATACCCGGAGATCGTACTGTTGCCATTGTCCCCACAGCTCCGTCATCAAATTTCGCGAAGGTGCAAAAGGTGGCTTTGGAAGGAGAGACTGAAAGAAAAGCTCTGCTTTCATCCTTTGAATTCCGCCGCGACGAAGACACTTCTTGGTCGGTGGCGTTGTGTTCGGGTATTCTTGGATCCCACTAGTGCCAGGAAGCTGGTGTAAAGTAAGAAATGTTCCTACCCAATGTCGTTGCACAGCCCCTTTAAAGGTTGAACGTAGCTCAACTCCTCACATTACGTTACGACGACCTTTGTGTCATTGGTTGCCACGGTAACTCATCGTCCTAGCTCGTCGTCGCCGAAACATTTGTATTTAGCATGTAGCGTGCCAGGCTATCTTTTTGAATTGGTAGTTACGCTTAAAGCACAGATTTCCAGGTGACTTTGACATAAGCTTCGTAAAGTAACGTAATGCTAGAAAACGGGTCTGTGCTAGGTCTGTGTAAACCAGCTTTAAAGGCTGGTTCACACAAACCCGACAGTCCTTGAGTCCACGATATATATAGCCTCCTTCCTTGAAAACGGGGTGGCTTTGCGAATCTCTCGGTTTTGCGAGTGGTACTGATCTCCCTGTATTCCTTGGATAGTGCATATGTGTAGGTGCTTGCTGGTGATCTTCGATTGCCCAATTATATCGTATGTCAAGATTGGCAATCTTGATGGTGTCGAGCTCAGTTTGCGGAAGCACTGACGAAGTTCACCGTTAGCACGCGGTGATGCATGCAAGCGCGAGCAGCATGCTCATTAAGGCAACTTTGCAAGGCACGTGCTTGCCCACATGAGTGGAGAAAACTAATAGACCCTTTCCGAAAGTCACTAGATATACCCATCCCGTGCAAAGCCAAACCCGACGCTCTAAAATGGCACTATACGCGCTTTTCCACGCCAGAAAAAGCGAACGTCTTCGAAAGCTTAAGGCAGACAGGGGAAAAGATGGTGGTCTCTTTACGTCACCTTCAATTCCCGAAATCGAAGGTGCTTGATGGATCTCCTATCACCGATATCAGAGCGGCAATATTGTAGCTTCTGGAATTGCCGAAAGGTGACTGCCTTTTGGAAAGGGTCTATTGTGTTGTATGTATGTATGGACAACCGGAAGTATCCTCCATTTCATACTTAAGACGCTGTCAAAGCTGTTGGCGCGAACACGGGGCTTGATCTCGTTGATCATTTGCACGCGCTCTCGCGCAAACGAAACTGTTGTGGCTGCGCTACGGTCGCATTTGTAGTCTGAAGAAGAAGACGATGAAATAGAGGTTGTTCTTCAGCGGTACTGAATCAAGGTGGTCTATACTTCAGCTGTCGCGACAGCATACAACAGATTGCGGACGAGTGATGTACCGACAGGCATGAGCCTGGCGCTGCCGCCTCCTTTCCCTCCCGCTCCCGGGAGACCGAACAGTGGCGGCGGGTGTTCCGATATTACCTGCTGGCTTCGGGGGGCGACGCCCATGGACCTGCTCGGCGGAAGGCCACTTCTACACTGCCTCCATGTTGAAGGACAGATAGTCTTCTACATACTTCCGGAGACGCATCCTCCGGTACCACTGAAGGGATCAACTTCCGGCACGCAGACTTAGGGTGACCACCCGTCCCGTGACTCGCGGGACTGTCCCGCATTGAGGGCTCGTGTCCCGCGTCCCGCAAGAAATTCCCAAATCTTCAAAATGTCCCGCATTTCACATTGTCGTAATATTCACTGCTCAAATTATGGCGCTTCCGAACAACGGGCAACGGGGAACCGCGGAGGTCGCTGGTAAATATGTGAATCTCGATGTTATGTAATTTTCTTGCCAAGCACTGCGGGAAGGAACCGTCGTTCTTGCAGGAGACTGACGCACATGCGCCGTTGTGCCTCTCCGCTTGATGGCAAAATATTGCAAGCGAAAATTGCTCGCCAAAAGCTGAAAAATAAACTATTGTAATTAGTGGCACATCATACTGTATCTTACGAAAGGGTTGTTGTGGAAAGCTTTTTTTTTTTTTTAGTAAAGACGGCCACAGAAGACAAAAAACCTGCAACTCACAACGGTAAAAAAAAAACAACAACAACATAAGGTTTTATTTTTGTGTTGGAGCATGTTAATATAAGAGTAAGTATCGACAGGAAACAATAAGCCGAAACATATTTACTGTATTTTATTTCCTTTTGATGGATTGGGGTCTGGTGCAGTCGATCTTTATATTTTCAACTTAGATACTTTTAATAGAATATTTACCATTACAAATAAACAAAAGTATATCACTGTGAGTGAAACTTATCTTAGTTTAATTGCCGCGTAAAATTTTCAGGTGTATAATACGCTTTCGGACAGCACAGAATTTCGGGGTGTGCGCGTTGGTGAATTTCCCTTAATAGTTATTTCTTGAGTCGCAAACAAGCCCCCCCCCCCCCCCCCCCCCCCCCCCCCCCCCCCTGGGTCAGGGTGTCCCGCATTCCACCGGCAGGAAGGTGGTCACCCTACGCAGACTCCGACTGCGCCGGACGAGTACGATGTCGCTTTGGCGGCCCTGGAGACCTACTTCGCGGCAACTTCGAACGTGGTCGTTGCACAAGGCTTCAGGCAGCGAGCGCAGCTACCGGGGGAATCTGTCGAAGTATTCGTTGCCGAGCTGCAAGACCTGTCGGCGGACTGCG